GTGACGATGGTAAAGAGAGAGAAACAGGGGCAGAGAGAGCTAGCAAACGACTAAGGCCAATAAGGAGAGGGGGGGGGGGAGGGGGGGAGAAAAACAGACAATTTGACAGATCTACAGATAGACAACCAAGAAGGCAAGAGACAGGAAGAGAGAAGGAACTCCAGGGGGATATCGAGGGTGAAGGCGACAAAAAAAACATAAGACGGAACAAAACTGACAATTACAATGCCAAAGAGCATTGACACCATTGCGCTGTCAGACTCTCAACGTGATGATAAACAATATTGCTGCTCTGTATTGGTATAGTATGCCGCTCTGTATTGGTACAATACTGCCGCTCTGTATTGGTACAATATGTCGCTCTGTACTGGTACGGTATGCCGCTCTGTATTGGTATATAAATTCTAAAAATTTAAGATTCTTCTGCGGATCCTCCGAGCACATAAAATCGTCAAAGTTGTCTCTTGCAAAACGCCTCTTTCGTTGCGCCTGACCTCCTTGTTTTGAGAATACGGGCCTCAACGCATGGGCCTAAGGGCCGTTTTGCAGTTCATATGTCGTCACTTCTTTTTGGGGTTCGCTTCCACCCAAGGACCGGTCCTTCCTTGTTTAGGCAGGTTTTCGTCGGTTAAGCGGGGTTTAGAGGGCGTCGAGAGGTGCGTTGGAAGGGTGCGGTCGGGGAGGTGAAAACGACCGGTAGGCCGAGCGGTCGTCTCAGAGCTTAGAGGCTCAACGACCGTGGCGGGTTGGGGAGGTCGTTCGTGTAACGACGGTGGTCGGCGGCCGTCGTGTGGTTTCGGTTTCCTTTTTGGGAACAAGGCCAGGGGACTCTCGACATGCAAAATGATACTGAATCCACCGCTAGAACATGGAAAGATACATTGCCATCTTTTTTGTCTTTTGTGCATCTTTTGTGCATGTGGAGAGTAGCGCAGCGAAAAAGGGGAAAAAAAAAAAAAAAAGAAGGAATAGGCCTCAGGGAAAAAAAAACGGTCAGGTGCGAATAAAAGACAAAATATATGGCAATGTATCTTTTTTTTTTTTTTTTTTTTTTTTGGGGGGGGGGGCGCGCGTACGGGTGCCCCCGCTACCAGAAATTATGCCGTAGTAACACCACCGTGGGTGTGACTTAGGCCAGGCGAATCCCGAAGTGCAATGGGAACCCTGCAACCTAAGCCGGCCGCCTTCTTGATCACGGATGTGCCCCGGCCAGGTAAGTATTGGCAATGTATCTTCCATGTTCTAGCGGAGTATTCATTTCATTTTGCACGTCGAAGAGGCGCGTCGGGTCGGCCGCATCCTATTGATGGAAGAAGTACCATGACGCCAGCCGCGACGTTCGAGACTTACCT